GTTACTTTGTCTGATGGTCAGCTTGATGGCAGTCGTCCCGACGTTCATTTTACCTTTTATGGAAAATATTAGCTCTTTTTTAACAGTTCTGTGGACAAAAAAGCTTGGAAAACTTTAGTTCTTGTCGATGCAATCATACGTTTTTGCGCCAAACATGCAGATCGTTAACAGTAGGAATGGCCCCTGCGCTGTAGTTTAACACTTGGACTCATATTGGCTATGTTTTTGCTCCTTCTGGCATGCAGGAGGAAGGGACACCGATGCTTTGAGGTTTTTTTTTTGCTGTTTAATAACACTGCTACTTTATCTCACCAATGCTGCTAAAATCTAGTTCACGATGGACCACTTTACCGGTTGGAACAGGTTAAAATGTAATTAAGAAAATTAAAAAAGTAAATTTTAGAAAGAAAATGTTGATTGCCAAGCTGAAGAAGAGTACGGTGAAGTGGAACGTTTATTTCCAAAATGGGTGACATATTTGGCAGCTGGCTTTAACATCGTTGTAAGTTGCTGTTTTTTTGTTTTTTTCTTTTAAATTACTGAGTCCCAAATAATTTCTTTTTGCAGAGTTTGATAAGTTGAAATGAGATTCAAAAAATATATTTATAGATCTATGGAATTGGTTCGAAACGAGGACTTCTTGAACATTTTTGTAAAGATGCATTGCAGAAATACACCTATTTGATTTTTGATGGATATCAACCGGCAGTTAACTCACATCTCATCATTCAAGTAAATTTTTTCTTTTCATTTTTTGCGTTTTTTGCATCTGTGCAATGCAGAAAATACATATTGACGAAGGGCTCTAAGCTGCTATCTCAGGAACCAGAAAAGCTAGAAAGTTGAAATTTTAAGGGGATGTTTCCTGACAGTCCTGGCGGCCAGTCTTAATTCGTTTAGCTAGGAGCATTTGCCGGAAAAACCGCTGCCGTTAGCGACAAAAACCTGTAGGGAACTATGCAAAAAACGCATCTTCGTGCCGGCAGTCGGTGCGCTGTCCAATTTCCTTTTATTTAAGATTGTTTTTAACTGATAAGTCTTCAACCTTTTCGTTAGAAGAGTGGTGTGCAGGATATCATTACAGCTAGGCCAGGATGTAAAATCTGTTAGGCATGAGTTTATCTTGCTCACAACCAGTAGGCGCCACGTACTACTTAGTGGTGCTCGAGAAAAAAAAAAAGGCAGCTATTCAGGCGGTTGCCAAAGAGAATCACAACCATACTTTGTTAAAATCCTATGAGCAAGAGATTTCAAAGTCAGTCATTGCGTACACTTGTACAGGGCGTACGGTCACTGGAACTGTCTAACTCGAAAACTACCTTAAAAACAGTAGCTGAAATTTTGTCAGAATATTTATCGTCTATATGGGAAACTTTATGCAAAATCTTTACTGGATGTTTGCTTATAGGCCTTAGATGTGAAGCTTGGCCTGAAAATCAACAAAACAGGCGGCCATATGGGATATGCAACTGCTGTTGCTCGTGCAATTGATAGTCGAAAAGAGGACGTTGTCATCGTACTGCATAATATCGATGGACCATCACTTAGGTCTTTTTTGCTGTTTAAATTAAAATATTAACGTATAATTATTATTGATACTGTTTGGGTTCAAGAACAACAGGATCACCGAGTCAGTTGGTCTGAGGGATTCCGCACCGGGGTTACTCGAAAAATCTCGGTATTTTTGGTATATCTGCCCAGTGTAGTGTCAAAAATCAAAGATAACGCTATGATGGAATGACTTTCATTTACAGTGTTTACACAACATTATTGGACGGTATAGGCAGATAGGCGGATCCAGAGGTCGGGGAGGGAGG